CCCTTATCATCGTGGTCGCAGGACCACTTTCCAGTTGTGTGTTTAAAGAAAACCTGTTTTTTGTTTACTGTTTTTCCACCACATAAACTCTAATCTTTATCTTCTCTCCGATTTCTCTCTCATGGTCATCCTTCATCTCTCTCTGTCTTCAATCTCTCTATACGCCGAGAAAGCCGACCACAGTCTGTCTGAAAAGATATTAAACGGGACGTTCCCCACGTAAATCTTCCTGGCCGAGACGTCAGCAGCGTTGGGGTTGCTACTGTTTAAACGACATCGCTAATCCGGCGTTGGTGAACTGCGTGACGCTAACTCTGCTGTCGATTTTCTTGCTCGATTCTTTACGGGACATAGCTCTGACCATCTCCCGTCTCCCTATTCTTCCTTGTACCTTAATATGTCCTCTCAGAACCTTCTCTGTGTCTACATCCTCCTCCGCCTCCATCCATGCAAATGCTGGATATGGTTTAATGGACTCTTTAGAGAAGATGCAGTACTTTTGGGGTAGTTGGGTAGGCTGAAAACTTCACTTGCTCGACCACTTTTCTTAACCTCTCCCATCTGTTCCCCATTATTTGATGGCAATGGTCGAAGAAGAGCTCAGAGTTGTTAATAGACTTGCAGTTCTCATATCCGTCGCAGATCACTCACATTATCTTTGCAGCTCGTTGCTGTGAATCCTTGGACTTTTGCATCACCATTCTTTTCCAGATCATTAGGTGTCACGGTGCTGCCATTGGTGGCAGCATACCTCCATCCCACTGTGGTTGTCATGGCAGCTGTGCTTTTACTCTTCAAGATTCTTTAGGAAAAACCAGCGAAAAGAAGAGATCAGTTTTGCTCTTCTCCATATCTACCTCACCTCAAAGCCGCTTGCAGTTCTTCTTTCTTGAGCCATAGAGAGAGGAAGTGAAGGAGCCAGAGATTTATGCGAACTTGGTGGGTTTTGAAAGCTTTCTACAGAGAGAAAGAGAAATAGAATAAACTGTGGTTTTCTGGAAAAAGCCCCAAGAAGGGAGGTTCTGGGTTTGGCTTTGGATCTTGGGTTTTTTGCAGATTCACAGTGGAGGTGAAAAAATGAAAGAGAACCGACATAGTTTTTCATGTCGATTCCCACAGACGGCGCCAAATGTTGATGCACAAAACCGGAAGTCTTGGAACAACGTAAATCCGATCGTGAATATGCAAGAAATGTAAATAACACAAGATGTATCGTGGTTCACCCCAAGGTTTGGGCTACGTCCACACTGATATTGTATTTATCTGAGAGGTAAGGGAGAGAACCTCTAAATATGAGAGGGGATATGAGAGGGGAGAAAAGGCTTAAGAAATGGCCTCCTCCAATTGTGAGGCTGAGGAATCCTTTTATAGAATAAGGGCTCCTCACTTATTACATATTTGCCCCTTCCTTTATTACATAATTACATTTAAGTCTCCCGAGCATTTATACGAGATCTAAAAACGAAAGCCCTAAGTATGGTACAAACGCATTTCTAATAGTAAAATATGCATTTTAGAAATGGTCCACTCACATATATTTCACCGTCGAAGAGCCATGCAAACAAGAGTGGATGGAAATGCCATACACAATTGCACCTAAGCACATAAAGGTACCAATTAATAAAACTATACTAAAACAATTGAATTTCGGGAAACAGACATCATAAATGGATTCAGGACGTCGAAAAACATAAGGGGAGACCTCAAGTACCCCTACTCGCCGCCATGGACGGCGATGGAGCACAGTACCTTCGGTGGAGGCGCGTGTGCTCCACGCGTCGGCCAAGATAGGTGCCCACGCAAGGCCTGGATTTTGGGTTGGGCTTGGTTTATAGGCTGGGTTATTATCTGAGCTTGGGTTTGTGTTTAGGCTTGGCTTAGTGGATTGGGTCTCTGAGTTGGGCTTGGTTACATAGGCCTAAGGTTTGGGCAAGATTAGGGGATTTGGGATGGGTTTTGCAGGTTGGGTCGACTCGGTTTTAGGCCAAGGTTTGGCCAGATTCTGGGCATAAATTCAAGCGCCCATAACTTCTTTGATACTTAACCAAATCAGGTGATTCAAAAACCAAAGTTGTAGTACTCAATGAGATGAAAAGAATGGTACCTTGCACGATGACTAACTCATCGTGGTTTGGCCGAAAAACACCTTGAAAGTGGTATTGCTCGTCGAAAATTGGGAAAAGCTACTCCGAGCTATTTTCTACGATTAATACGTATGTACAACTTAAAACAAGCTTCAATCTGACCCCAAAACACATCCCAAGGGTTTGAGGGAACTTACCAACATCAGAAAAATCATAAAACATGTAGGAGTCCTACGGGGAAGATGATGAACAATGACTTTGTCACTGTTGGGGTTCCACAAAGGTTTGCCTAGGGTTCTCGAGGTCCCTACGTCCAATGGGAAGGGTTGTGGTGATGTGGTTGAGCCTAGAGAGGAGAGGGAGAGTTTGTCAAGAAAGAGAGTCGGGGAACTAAGAGAAATGGGAGAGAAAGGTGAGGGGATGGAGAGATATGAGAGAGTTGTGAGAGGGAGAATGAGTCATGGGTCCAAAGGAAGAAATGAGAGAGGGCCAGGGGGACCAAAAAGGAAATGGGCCCCAAATGGCACACAATTTAAGACCCAGAAAGCAACAATTCAAAATATCTAGCCCAATCCCAATGAAATCACCAAAATACCCTTTCGTTCCGTAAATTCCAGGGCGGGTCGTCACAGTTGATAAGCTAATTCATGTGGATGTCTGTTTGTTGGCCTATCCACCTAAATTGAAGGCCGTTATAGATGCTATAACAAAACTTCGTAAGGAAATTTCTTGAGACAGGAATATCAAACATTTTACTACCAGTCATAAGTTTCATGTTGGACGCAGTACTCATACTAGAAATTATGATCAAAGATTGCTCTATCAACCACCGTCTAACGTTTTCTCCATCATACTTATTATTCATTATAAATTTATCCACTCTTGATGAATAGGGTAATAAACACAAATTAATAAGAAAAAGTTACAAGAATTACATAAGTTGAAAGGCATAATTTTTTACTAACAATTCATTATTTATTTATCTAATAATAAAAATGCACCAACACTTTGTTTTTTGAACAAACGATAGTGTCTACACTGAGAGGGTGGGGGAGTAGGCTAAGCCTTATATTGGACTTACTATAATAATGTGATTCAAAATCGTCTTTCCCGATAGTAACCAGATGTTAGTTTAAGATGGCGAATAATTCTTGCCTTTCCTTTGTTGCAGGATTCTCGTTCCGCCTCCATCTTTATTTGGCAACAAGGCGAAACTAGTTTGAAGATATTGTTGACAAGTTACAGAGATTAAATTGGGGCTGTATTTTGACAGTTTTGATGTTTTTGTTTTCTCTAATTTTTCTTTTTATTTGCTAGTGTTGGGTATTAATTAATTTGAATTAAGTGTCAAACGTTATGTGTATTTGTTTTATCAAAGAGAATTATTATTAGCACTTCAAAAATTTCATTTGGCACTCCAAATTTTCTATAATTAGAAAGAAAAATAAACTTATGACGAGTGTATAATGAATTTTTTGGAGTGCTAATAACAGTTCCTTTATCAAATTGATTTTTATTATTTATACAAGTTTTAATCCCCTAATTTTTTTAGTGTCATTCGAAATTGGTCTCAAGACTCTCAACCATTTTAATTTTAAACATTTTAAGCAAGCACCCAACCCATTGACAACATCACATCCATTAAGCCTCAGTTAATTTTGTCCCCTAAATATACATATGGCAACAATGGGTTCCACTTTTTAGCTTACTTGAATAAAAATTAGTAACCTGAAAAAATGAAATAAAAAATGAAGACCGGGAAAAATCAAGCTGCCGTTAGGCTGCCACCACCAGCTCAACCTACCACCACCAAAACCACAACCCAACCTTTACATTCAAAACCTGTTGACCAGCTGGGTTTTTCATGGTCAACATTAATATTAATAACCTCCAAATCTAAATTTCACACAAATTATATAATATGTAACCCAATAGTTAAAATGGTATTAAATTGAATCAAAATGGACCCAAATTGCTTTACATTAAGAGGCAATCTCCTAATAAAGAAGAGGGTTAAGAATTCATATAGGGTTTCAAGAAGCCTTTTTCTGTTGTTTATTCTCTTATTCTCTTCTGCATATCTAGGGTTTTGTCAATTTAGGGTTTTAGATTTTTGTGAATTTTGGGGTATTAGGTTTCCTAATGACCTTAGGAAAAAAAAAATTAGAGAACTAAAGAGCATGAGAGGGTAATTCTACGGTTCACAAAGATTAGAAAAATAAAATAAAATAATTTTGAAGTTTATGCATATTCTACATATATACAAGTTCTTCATGCCCCAGCATGTACCGGTGAAATATCAAACAAATAAAATTCTTAATATTAGAACTACATAAAATGCTTGACCATGTATTAGGAGTACATGCTCGATCATGTACTCGTAATACCAAAACTATTTCAACATATCAAATTCTTTTGAATTGTGTCAACGATGGACTAGTGTGGTGTGTCTAAAGAACAAAATCTTATTTAAAAAATATTCAATATAAAGCAAATAAGTCTTTTAATATTAAAAATAAACAACCCAATTCTTGTCATAATTTTAATTGTTATTTAAAGTTAAACCGAATTGAGTTGTCAACAAGGGTATAGTAGTAATTTAACACATCACCAAAAGCGCCAATTTGACGCCAAGTATTCAAATTGGAGGGAAAACGGTAACATGTGCTTGCGGAGCCCTAATAAGAAAAAATAAAATTAAAATAAAATAAATAAATAAAAGGAAAAACGAATCTGTACATATTGCGATTGGAGCGCGGTGAGAAAATTAGAAACTTGAAAAACGAAAAATAGCAAATATCAGAGAGAAAAAGCGGCCGTTTGAAATTTGAATCTCTCCCTCTTCTTTCTTCTCCGACCTCCATTGATTCTTCATCATTCATCGCTACACAGAGCAATTGATTTGTTGTGAAAGAGATGGCCAACAGATTCACGGCCGTTTGGGCCGACAATTTTGCACAGGAAATCGCCGCCGTCGATCGCTTTCTCACCCACTTCCCCATCGTCTCCTTCGACGCGGAGTTTCCCGGATTTCTCCGCAACACGCCCAGAAGTGCTTCCGACGCTCTCCGCTACCAAGATCTCCGCTTTAACGTCGATTCCCTCAAACTCATCCAATTGGGTATCACCCTCTTCGACGATCTCGGCAACATCGGGGGCACCTGGGAGTTCAATTTCCGGGGTTTTGACGAGGAAACCGACCCGCACGTCGCCGATTCCATCACCCTTCTCAAAGCCAACGGCTTGGATCTCGAGAAATTCCGGAAATTCGGAATCGACCCGGAGGTTTTCGAGGAGGGTTTTGCCGAGGTTTTGCGGATGCACAGAGGGCGCCTCTTATGGGTGAGCTTCCACGGCCTCTATGACTCGGCCTATGTGATGAAGTTCATGACCCGGAAGGCCATGCCGAGCTCACCTACCGAGTTCGCCGCGATGGCGGGAAATCTATTTGAGAGGGTGTGTGACCTGAAATTTATGGCCAAATTTTACCAGGGCCTGCTTGGGGGCGAAATTGGGCTCGAGAGGATGGCGAAAATCCTCCGAGTGCAGCGTTACGGCGATGCCCACCAAGCGGGTTCCGATAGTTTGTTAACGGCTGATGCATTTGTGAGGATGAGGGCTCAATTTGTGTTGAAGCCAGGGATGTATGAGGGGTTTCTATATGGGTTAAGTCCAAAGATTTGTGCTTCTTCTGTACACAGGGTTAGAGCTCCTCCTGGTCAGGTTATCCTTGTCCCTGTTGTACCCACTAGACCTGTCATTCTCGTCCGCCACTCCTCCTCCTCCCGTGATCAGTCCTTCCAGAGCCATCACCAGGCTTCGCCTATGCTCTATCCTTATCCTTCTCCAGCTCCGATGCTTATGCATAGGCCGATGTGCATTCCTTTTCATGCCTTGCCTCAAGCCCCTCCCCACTATCAGATTCAAATGTGAATTTGATGATGAATATAATGTGATAATGTCTCTGTTAGTTAGAATAGTTATATATGTTTTGGATAGATTAGTTGAATGTAAACTAGTTCATATGATGTCATTTTTTGTAACACTCGTCTAATTGTTCATACATGATTAATTCATTCATTCAATTAATGAAAATTCTATAGAATAAAAGCTGTTTCAGTCAGTTCAATTTTCTTGTGCAGCACTTTCTGTTTGAAGTAATTATTGTTTTTATGTTTATTTTCACTTTGCCACTACCCTTTGTAATGCTTTCTATCTTTTGATATTTGGATCATTGAATGTTTATTTTCAGGGAATCTCTACTTTCCTGTTTTCCCATGTGGAAGATTTTGATGTATTGTGTTTGCCTGGAACCCCTTACCTAATTACTTACCTGGCATTGCTCTCGAGTACTCATCTTCAACATCTTATGTTTCCAGGGAAGATTCCGCATCTGCTTGAGGAACAGATAGGGCAAGTGCGAAGGATACAAGGAAGCATGTGGAGACAAGCGTAACAGCACACGTGCCGATACATTCATTACTCTGTCAAAAGCAAAAGTATCACATATCAGCAGGGTGGAACGTACTCTAGATTTGATGGACTTGTTTTGACCCTCAAATTCTTCAGTCGGCCTTATACTCTGGAGGAAACCAGAAAACCCTCCAGCTCAGTTCAAGAATAAGCCTGTGGAAAGTTACTTCTTCAAAAGCAAAAGTATCTCATATCATCTCTTCTCATTTTTCTTCTCTTTATCCTTCATGCTGCTGCAAGATGGGGAGAAGGTGAACAATCAGTCGGAGCTCTGATTGCTTACCTTGTCTGTCACCTCTTTCAGCAGACCCCCTAACTCGGCGACTTGGGGGACTCCTACTACATGGTTTGTATCGCGCTTGACCAAGCCTGAAACTACAAGTAAGCTTCAAGTGAAATTGATACATTACCTTGTGCATCTCCACCAGTTAAAGATATCACCCCTGGATGGAGGAAGAGTACTTCCAGAGAAGATGCCACATCTACCTATGAGACAGATAAGGCAAGTCAAGACGACACCACACTCCGATACTTAGAAGTTTCGTGATTACGAGATCATTCTCCCACAATATTTCCTAATGTCATTTGTACTAAATCATTCACTTGTACTCACTAAATGAGAGCTTGAACCTATGTACTTGTGTAAACCCTTCACAATTAATGAGAACTCTTCTATTCCGTGGACGTAGCCAATCTGGGTGAACCACGTACATCTTGTGTTTGCTTTCCTATCTCTATCCATTTATATACTTATCCACACTAATGACCGGAGCAATCTAGCGAAGATCACAAAAAGCGATCGTTTTCGCTACCTAGGATCTATCTTGCAAGAGAACGGAGAATTAGATGGAGATCTCAACCATAGAATACGAGCTGGATGGAAAGAGTGCATCCGGCGTGTTGTGTGACCGTCGTAGGCCACTGAAGCTCAAGGGAAAATTTTATAGGACGGCAATAAGGCTAGCGATGTTGTATGGCACAGAATGTTGGGTGGTGAAGCATCAACACGTACACAAAATGGGTGTAGCGGAGATGAGGATGCTTCGTGGGATGTGTGGGCACACGAGAAAGGATAAGATTGGGAATGAGGATATCCGAGGTAAAGTAGGAGTAGCCGAAATTGTAGGAAATATGAGAGAAAATCGGCTCCGGTGATTTTGAACATGTGCAAAGAAGGCCGACTGACGCTCCGGTTCGAAGATGTGACTACGGGACAGAGGTTCAGGGCCGAAGGGGTAGAGGAAGACCTAGGACAACTTTGGAAGAGACTCTAAGAAAAGACTTAGAGTACTTGGATCTAACGGAGGACATGACACAAAACCGAGCGCAATGGCGTTCTAGGATTCATATAGCCGACCCCACTTAGTGGGAAAAGGCTTTGTTGTTGTTGTTGTTGTTGTTGTGTTTGCATGAGACCAAACAGCAGGCAAGTATTTTAGTTCTTGTTGTTCTTCACAAAGCTTAAATTCTTGTCAATAATAAAGTTAACATCTTGTTGTTCTACAGTCATGTTTTATATTCCGACATCATATCTTGATCTGTGATTGGCAAAGAAATAACTGACTCTTTGGCTTCTGAAATACTTTGCCCTTTTACATGTTGAGCATTGATTGAATCTAATGCAACGCTAACCTAAGAATAGGATTCAATTTTTGTGGCTAAACAAAGGTCAACTTTTTGTGTTTATTCAATCTCTCTTTTATGTATAACCCATGTTTCAAGGTTGCTTTGCTACTCGCACTTATATAATTATGTTCAATTTATATGAAAAAAGAATTCCTTGGTGGAATTATACAAGAAATAGAAAGTGAGCTTTCAGTGTAATGCATGCCAATTACTAGTAAGCATTCCCTACTTTGAACTCTTAGGTAGTTGGAAGATACTGTGCCAGTTTGTTGTATGAGGTATATACTTTTGTTTTGGCCCCTGTTCTATGGTAGCAGCCACAATTTCAAAGATTTAGAATATTTGAGATGGGAAAATCCTCATGTGTGTGTTTTAGAGCTGATATAGAATATTTCTTTCTAGCTGGGACAACCTTATGACATTAGAGTCCTTCTGAGATTGACTACAAGACATGTTTTGAACCCATCTTTCTTATAGCATATTGTGAAAAGGTTGCTGATAGTTATCCATGAGAATAGCTTCTGGTGTAGTATTTGCAAGCTCGGTTATTCAGGAACTGCGGTTACTTCTCAGGTATGTTGCGTTCTTTTTTCTTACTGGCAGTTATATGTGTTTAGGAAATCAAGCATTTAACAATCGTTGCTTGTTAAATGTGTAACTCTCAGCATTGTGGCTCTTCGTTTTTTGGGTAAAACATTGTGGCTCTTTAATGTCCTGTAAAGTTCATTTTTGTGAAAATGCTTTAACCAAATGTAGAATCAAATGCGAAATATCTTTTGATTGAAATGGCGGGGGATGTCGTTTGTTATTGCTGTAATGAGAAATCACAGACAGTTCGCAATGAAGAAGAGATGGCAATGGAAGGTAGCACGAGCGCAAGTAGTGATGGGAGCAGGAATTCGAGTTGCGGACACGAACACTGATTATCATTTACCAGAGAAGAAGGATGATGAAGACTTTTAAGGCTTGGCTGAAATTAATTGTTTACATATTCTCTTTGTGAACTTTTGTTAAAGGTTTCTTTTTAAGGAGTTTTATTGAGATCCTAAGATGTGGCGTGCATATATATAAACTGTGATTACAGGCAAGTAATCTTTGGATGAATTTTCATGCTGAGCATTGATTGAATCTAAGGCTTGAAAGTTTATTCTCATAAACGCTTCTCTAAGAATAGGATTCCATTTTTGTGAGTAAACAAAGGTCAATTGTTTGTATTTATTTCAATCTCTCTTTTATTTATATTCCATGTTTCAAGGTTGCTTTGCTACTCACACTTAAATAATTTTGATCAATTTATATTAAAAAAGAATTCCTTGGTGGAATTTATACAAGAAATAGAAGGTGACCTTTCAGTGTAATGTATACCAATTACTAGTAAGCGTTCCCTACTTTGAAGTCTTAGGTAGTTGGATCATACTGTGCATGTTTGAGGTCTGCAATCCGCTCTTTCGAAGATTTATTCTATTCAAAACTTTGGATAATTATCGTAATATGTGCACAGGTGATATAAAATATTTCTTTCTAGTTGGTACAACCAAGATAAATCTGACAACCTTTGTACTTCTGAAATTAACTATAAGATGAGGTTTGAACCCTTCTTTATTATAGCACATTCTGTGAAAATTTAATATGTTTGGTACTAGGAGAATGATGTTGAAGATGAAAGGGTGTCTGATAAATGGCTATGAGAATTGCTTCTGGACACTTAGTGTTGGTTATTCAGGAACTGTGATTATTTCTCAGGTATGTTGCATTCTTTCTTCTTGAAGGCAGTTATTTCATGACTTCAGAAAGTCGGGCTTTTATTATTTCTGTTTGTTATAATGTATGACAGTCTTGATTTATGCCTGTATTGTGGATCTTTAATGTACTGTTAACTCCACTTAATGTTTAGTTTTGATCACCAATTTATTTGTGTGAATTTTTTTAACAAAATGTAGGTTCCAGCCCAATAGTGAACCAAAAAAATTGATAGAAACAGATAAGTTTAATGAAATCTGTTTTCTAGGAAGTTCAAGAACATTTTAAAGGGAATGTGATTTTGAGGGTAGCTAGTTTAGCCTTATGCCAATTTGGAAATGTTTCGAGCAATGACTTTGCTTATTATTAAGAATGATATGGTTACGATTAATTATATACATCCTTACTATCAATTGCTTCTTTATTTAAATGCCACTATTCATTTTTGCTTTTATAGTGCTATTTAAATTGGCTTTTGTTCTTTGACAGATAAAGCCATGTTCAGTCATACATGGCCTTTGCATACCAATCATGATAGGGGCGGGTTGTAAGAGAAGAGTTTGATTCAGTGGATATGTTCCTAATTCTGGAGATGGTTTGAGAAGCTGGTAAATAAATTCAAGCCATTTGCAGCCTATTTCGAGGATGCAGTATTAAAGATGCCTTGTTGACTAACAGTTCTGTTTTCTTTTTTAGTAAAATAGGAGTACGGAGTGGGATCATCTCTCAGCAGTTACATGACAGTAAGTGCACTCACATTTCCCCTTCTATTGGAGGACAAATACTCTTTGATTGATTCATTCAATGTATGAAGCAATTTTAAATGCTTATGAGCGCTTTCATTTTAATTCAGGAGCTAGAAAAGTCAAAACCTGTCATTTTAAGGTTAAAACATTCGTCGAGTAGAACTTTTCTAGGAGAACAAAGGTGCCACGAAGAAGGAGAAGCTGTCAATTGAATCCACTGAGGTTTCAGCCTTTCAGGTGCTGTGAAAAATTGAGTGGATTCTCATAATTGAGTGTATATTCATATTTTTTCCAGTTGTTTGGATTAAAACTTAATTTTTGGCCCAAGGATGGAGTCGGCCCAAAAGGAGGCCTGGAGGAATAGAAGATCAAGGCCCGGCCGAAACTTGGGAAAGCAGGAAAGGGCCTTTTCTGACTTGATACAATTCATAAGGGCCACTTGCCTACCTACCCAAGGACCAAGTGGTGTAGACTGATCAGACTGCACAGCCCATAAAGTACTTTATGGTGGCATTACATGTAATAAGGCTGATGAGTCATCACCCTCAGACCGCATTCGGGCAAAGCTGTCGCTACAGGAGCCAAACCGAGTCGTCTATAAAAGGAGGAAGAGAAGACAGGAATGAGGACACTCAATCAAACAAACAAAAGCACAAACTCTGCTCAAAAAGCCAGATTTGCCTTTCAAAACGAAGCTGTAGTCAGCCCAAGCCTTCATCCCCTGCGGGATAATCTTTTCTCCCAACCTCTGTAATAGCTCTGCTACCTTGTTCGAACTTGTTGTAGTATCGATTCACCTTTTGTATTCTCCTTTCCCCTCTCCCCCTCTAAGCTTTCAGACCTTTGACAGAACTACAAAGATAGGGACCTGCAAGACGATCAGCCTTAATTGATAAGGTTTAATCTTGCCCGACCTGCTTTGCTCTGTCTTTGTCTTCTCTTTCTTTAAAGTCTAGCAATATGTTGTATATTTCCAGTTATATGCAAGTTGTTTCTAGCAAAATCACGATGACAAAGCTTTCTCAGTACTTGGATCCGATTTGAATATATCTTCAGTGTTTAAATCAGATCCAAGTCCTAAGCCCTCAGGCATGTAATCTGATTAGTTTAAAAGTCATTGGCCTCAAGGCATAAAAAAGAACTTTATGTGGACTTAACCCATCCACGACAATCCTTGATAAACGAGAAGTCCGAAGTTACTTGGGGCGTAAGTAATCGACCTACCTCTTGGTTTTATTTCTATTATATCATGATTATCATAGAACGCTTAAGTATGGAATGGATTCTGATAGGAAGCCTCAAGGCCTACACCTAAGGCCCCACAAAGGCACTTATTTGGATTCATTCTATTCTGCGGTCTAGATGGTTCGAGTATAAGAACGAACTCTAATGGGAAGCCTCAAGGCCTACACCTAAGGCCCCCACAAAGGCACCTATTTGGGTTCGCTCTACCTCTCAGACTCGGATAATCAGAAATATAATAGTTATAAGACTCCGACAACCATAAAGACCAAATATAATATGCTCAAGTACTGGTTTAATTTGACAGGAAGCCTCAAGGCCTACACCTAAGGCCCCACAAAGGCACCTGTTATATCTAACACGGTTTCTCGGGCATATGCATATTCACAACTAAACTTGACATCCATTCGACATCTGCCATGCTGAAGATGGCAGTGGCACGCCTGAGCACTAAAATGTTAACCTTGATTGTGAGCCTCAAGGCCTACACCTAAGGCCCCACAAAAGCACCTCTCAAAGTTAACGCTGTCCTTCTCTTTCAGCCTTGCCCGAAGAGTCTTGCCCGACGAGACTTGCCCGACAAAGCCCGACAGGAAAGCAGAAGCCCGACAGCAGCCCTCAACCGGCGCCAATCTCCCAGGGGAGCTGTGTGCTTGTCGGCCAGGAAGTCATCCCCGACGGAAATTCCTGCCACGAACACCAGTCTAGGTTAAACATAACGAAGATGACTGGTTCTACTTGTACCGTTGTTATATGTCTAGGGGAGAAGCTTTTATAGACTTGGAGGACAGTATCTTCAGAAATTATTAATACTAATGTCAAACTGATGATAATGCATCTGAACCATGGATGGTTTTTGCGCCCTCGAAACCTCAGAAAGATTGGTTTCCTTATAATCCAAGAAACATGAAGCTTATACTGTTTACTAGGGATGCTAAATTTGTTAAGCTTATATTCTGGAATGCCAATGGTTTAAGTGCATTACTGAAGTAAGAAGGACATTTTGCTTTGCAGCTCCACAAAAGGGAAGATTTTGATGTAATGTGTTTGCAGGAGACAGACGCGCAGGCAAGTATCACAGTTTTTATATTTCAATTTATCATTTATGCATACTCCGAGTATCAAGGTTTGCTTCCCTACTGCCACTCATCTAAATTCGATCATCTAGTAAAAAAAAATATTCGTGGTTGAATTTATCAAAAAATATAAGGTGATGTTTTAAGGTACTGCAATGCTTTACTGCAAAACCGCGAAATATGCATGTCAAGTACTAGCCAAGCATTCTTGTAGCATATTGTGAAAAGGTTGCTGATAGTGACCTATGGATATGTAGCATTTGCAAGCTCGGTTATTCAGGAACTGCGATTATTTCTTGGGTATGTTGCATTCTTTTTTTCTTACTGGCGGTTACGTGTGTTTAGGAAATCAAGCATTAACTAGCGTTGCTTGTTAAATGTATAACACTCTGCATTCTGGCTCTTTGTTATTTTTGGTAAAACATTGTGGCTCTTTAACCAAATGTAGATCAAACGCGAAATGTCTTTTGATTGAAATGGCGGGGGATGTCCTTTGTTAATGATGTAATGAAGTCACAGGCAATTCGCAATGAACAAGTGAAGGCAATGGAAGGTACCACGAGCGCAAGTAATGACGGGAGCAGGAGATGGGAGTTGCAGACACGGCCACTGATTATCATTTTCCAGAGAAGAAGAATGCCGAAGACTTTCTGTGAACTTTTGTTACAGGTTTTCTTTTTGTCGAGTTTTGTTAAGATCCTAAGATGTGGCGTGCATACGTATAAAACTGTGATTACAGGCAAGTAATCTTCGGATGAAATATAACTAGATTTTCATATTCTTTGTTCGATCTTTAATTTTTCAGCATCGTACGTAATATCAACTCTAACGCTGATTCGATCATTAGAGCAAATTTTTCTCAATGACATTACCATAGAAGCATCGCGATCACAATCCTTTCGGATATTATTAAGTACCTTACAAAGTTTTGAGCATACGCGTACAAATTTTGTCAAAACTGAGGACTCTGAAGTCCCGAATATCTTGTCTATACGGTGACACTACAAGAGAGCAGCGCTTGGACAATTTGGAAATGAAATAGACTCAAAGGGGTGTGGTATCAACGATGGCTTCTAAAATCTTCTTTTCCAGTTCTTGTTCATTGATCCACATGGAACTCTTGCGTCGCAGCAGTTCTTTCTCGTCTTTTTTCATCTCTTCTTTCCGTTTTTCCTTCATCTTCCAATTCTCAAGCTTCTCTGCTCTTTCTTTCAACTGTGCATTAAGACAAATCAAAACACGTAAGACAAGTGAAAGAAACATAGAAGCAGTGTCGAACAAGAAAAAGAAAAAATAACCGGTTCTCTTTCCTTCCTCTCGAGGACATTGATTGGATTTCAATCAAGTACAAAATTGTCATTTATTTATGTAACCCGCCAAGGTAGATTCGCATGCCGCAATTAATCATGTGAATTTACATTAGATATTCAAAACTTGCGTACTTAACAAAGAACAGATCCCACACGTCCCTACCAAAACCACATCAAAGGAAGTTGCATCCGCAACTGATAGACTTAATCTTTTCATCTAAGTGGTGAAATCTTGACTACACAAGGAGAGAGAGAGTTGGAAAAGCTTGAACCCCGTGTGCACTCTAAAAGGAGAACTCTACCAAGGAAACTGAAAACGACGACTTCACCTTCTACCCCAAAGAAAACACCACTTTACCACACACCACTATGACTATTTTCTTTAAATGATCAAGTAAATCTGACAATTGATACATTTAAGTTCACCCAAAATTTGTTAATCATCATTATTCACGTTATTACAGTATGAGCTTGGATTGTTAAACGAAAATTATGAAGACACCAGTATCAAATATATTTTTTATAGTTCATGAAATCAATGACAATGAACATTTTCTCAAGTTTAAGTTGGTACAGGAATGGAAACTAAACGGATAACATTCTAAGATGCCAAACCAGAATTTCGATCAACGCTTAACAAGGAAATTTATTAATTCTTGCAGAACATATTTCACCATTGAACATTTATAGACTACCAGCCTATTGTTCTAATCAAACACTAAGTTAAACACATTGATTTGGACTCAAAATCTGAGGACCTTCTTAAAAGCTTTCTTTTTTTCCGTAAGAAACAATTTGTTAAAAGGAAAATGAAAGAGTACAAAACAGGGGAGAAATAGAAACATGAAATTAAACCTAAAACTATCTCAAGGTTTCCCGGGAATACAAATCAATGTCTGGTTTTACTTTTTACGTAATGAACTTTGTTTTGAGATCAGGGTGTCAGAATGCACCATGCACGTTATCGATGAATAGACTGAAGTACTGTCCGAATAGTCGGATGCACAACAGCACAAATCGATCCATTATGAATGTCTTACTTTCTAATGCTTTTTATGGGTAAACATCTCAACATAAATAGCAAAGACACTAACATATTAATCTATGCTAATTTCTAACTACAGGACCATTAGTTATTGCCCTCAAATTTCATATCTTCTTAATCTGCATCTAAATTCAATAAAACGAGGAAAAAAAAAACTATCATCTAGCTTTTCTCCTATTAAATCTTCCCAATTTCTCGCAGAAAACAAACTGAAAAACCAAAAAACAAAGGATTCAAGTGTTCTCATTCTTTTCATCTTTCCATCCACAAAACTGATAATCAAAAGTTCAAAACGAAATACAAGATTTGAATTTGAAGCAAACACAAACCCACCGAATAATGTTTTGACCCAACGCCAAACTCAAATGATTTACTTTTCCCTTTTTCATATTTTCTCTGAAACTTAACCAATTCAAATTCTACTCTGCCCTCCCATTTGCACATGACAACCCCTAAAAACAAAACCCAGATCCTAGATTTCAAAATCAATTCAAAACCCATAAACTTCCTTCCATTTCACACTCTCTCAGCAACCAAACAACAACAACAACAACAACAACAAAGCCGTTTCCCACTAAGTGGGGTCGGCTATGTGAATCCTAGAACGCCATTGCGCTCGGTTTTGTATCATGTCCTCCGTTAGATCCAAGTACTCTAAATCTTTTCTTAGGGTCTCTTCCAAAGTTTTCCTAGGTCTTCCTCTACCCCTTCGGCCCTGAACCTCTGTCCCGTAGTCACATCTTCGAACTGGAGCGTCAGTAGGCCTTCTTTGCACATGTCTAACCCACTCATTCCTTAACTTATCCTTTCTCGTGAGCCCACACCTCCAACGAAGCATCCTCATTTCCGCTACGCCCATTTTGTGTACGTGTTGATGCTTCACCGCCCAACATTCTGTGTCATACAGCATCGCCGACCTTATTGCCATCCTATAAAATTTTCCCTTGAGCTTCAGTGGCATATGACGGTCACATAACACGCCAGATGCACTCTTCCGCTTCATCCATCCCGCTTGTATTCCATATATTTTGTCTTTGATCGGCTTAGGTGAAGACCTTTAGATTCCAACACTTCTCTCCAAAGGTTAAGCTTCGCATTTACCCCTTCCTGAGTTTCATCTATCAACCCTATATCGTCTGCGTAATGCATACACTAAGGAATAACATCTTGAATATGTCCTGTTAACTCATCCATTACCAATGCAAAAAGGTAAGGACTTAAGGATTGTTGATGCACAAAATCAGTGAGGACTTTGGTACAACAGAAAGTATTAAGTTTGTGACCTTCGCTAGATTCCTCCGGTCATTAGTATGGATAAGTATGTAAAAGGATAGAGACAGGAGAGCAAACACAAGATGTACGTGGTTCACCCAGATTGGCTACGTCCACGGAGTAGAGGAGTTCTCATTAATTGTGAAAGGTTTACACAAGTACATAGGTTCAAACTCTCCTTTAGTGGGTACAAGTGAATGATTTAGTACAAATGGCATTAGGAAATATTTTGGGAGAATGATCTCCTTTTATAGAATAGAGTTTCTAGCCTTGTTCTGACATTGACACGTGTCGTGTTGTGATTGGCTTTCGATGTTGACACGTGTCGCTCTGTGATTGACTTCTGATGTCGACACGTGTCGCTCTGTGATTGGCCTCCTGGTTGGAAGGGAAGCTCCTCGGTTGGGGACTTGCAAGATCCAAGCCGCTGAGTAATCACGAAACTTCTAAGTACCGAAGTGTGGTATCGCCTTCACTTGCCTTATCTATCTCATAGGTAGATGTGGCATCTTCTCTGGAAGTACTCTTCCTCCGTCCAGGGGTGGTATCTTTAACTGGTGGAGATGCACAAGGTAATGTATCAATTTCACTTGAAGCTTACTTGTAGTTTCAGGCTTGGTCAAGCGCGATACAAACCATGTAGTAAAAGTCCCCCAAGTCGCCGAGCTAGGGGATCTGCTGAAATAGGTGACAGACAAGGTAAGCAATCAGAGCTCCAAACAATCAGTCCCAGATCAGTTTAATTTCGAGTTCCGGCTGATTGTTCTCATTCTCCTTATCTTGCAAACAGCATGAAGGATAAAGAGAAGAAAAGGAGATGAGATGATATGAGATACTTTTGCTTTTGAAGAAGTAACTTTCCACAGGCTTATTCTTGAATTGGGCTGGAGGGTTTTCTGGTTACCTCCAGAGTATAAGGCCGACTGAAGAATTTGAGGGTCAAAACAAGTCCATCAAATCTAGAGTACGTTTGACCCTGCTGATATGGGATACTTTTGCTGTTGACAAAGTAATGGAAGTATCGGCACGTGTTTTGTTACGCTTGTCTCCACATGCTTCCTTGTATCCTTCTCACTTGCCCTATCTGTTCCTCAGACAGATGTGGTATCTTCTCTGGAAGCATAAGATGTTGAAGATGAGTACTCGAGAGCAATGTCAGGTAAGTAATCAGGTAAGGGGTTCCAGGCAGTCAGTTCCTGACTGGAAGCTTGATTCCAAGTGCTGACTGATTGCTCTCTTTCTCCTTGTCTTCCAGGTAAGAACAAGGCCAAATGAAAAGACAGGGAAAAAGCATGATATGAGATACTCTTGCTTTTAACCCTGATGATATGAGATATTCTTGCTCTGGTGTAGCTTGTTTGCAGAGGTATTATTGGGGGGAAAGAAAGCTGAGTATTTCGAAAGGCTTCGTTGGGAGTGCCCTCTCAGATATGAGGAAGGGTTGAGCATTTTTGCAGGTCTGCCTGTCCGGTGAGGATGGAGGTCGACATATATAGGAGTCTCCCTAACAAGTAATAATGCTATTCCTTTACCCTTCTTGGTCATAGCACTGTAGTGGGAGCTGCCAGCTTCACGTGTTTTAACTCTATCAAAGCACTTTGAAAAAATGGTCTGTGGTATCTGGAAAGCTGATGTTGCATGTGAAGATTACAGACAAGCTTTATCCAAGGAGATCTGGCTCTCGAAGTTGAGAAAGCGATGCCTCTTTGGTTTTCGAACAAGCAATCCTGTCGGGGATCTGGCTCTCGAGATTCGGAGAACGGTGCCTCTTTGATCTTTGAGAAAGATCTCCTGCTGGGAGTCTGGCTCTTGAAATTCGAAGAGCGGTGTCTCTTCGATTTTTGAGAAAGTAATCCTGTTGGGAGTCTGGCTCTCGAAATTCGGAGGACGATACCTCTTCGATTTTGGAGCAAGCAATCTTGTTAGGAGTGTTTTCTCGAATGTGAGTAAAGGTTGGGCATTTTTGCTAGTCTACCTTGCCACGGAGCACAGAGGTTGACACACAGGGACTTTCCAATTATCGAGCAGTGGTGTTCCTTTACCCTTATGGGTAATAATATGGTAGTTAAACCTTCAAAATTTATGTGTCTAAACTTTGTTAGTGTTGTTTCTTTGCTATTCTTTTACCCTTCTTGGTCATAGCGATGTAGTGGGAGCTGCAAGCTTCACGTGTCTAAACTTTATCAAAGATCTTTGACAAAGTTATATGTGGTACCCATGAGCTGATGTTGCGTGTGGAAAGTGGATGATTGAACAATAAGATTCACATGTTTTCTACTTCACCAGAAATCTTCGACAGATTGCCCGTAATTTCCGCAAGGCTGAGTGTGCATGTGACAAGTGCTGACAAGGCTGAGAAAGCAGGTGCCTCTTTGATTTCTGAGATCGGCCCTCGTGGTCTCTGAGCAGCCCAGCTTTTAAGAAAGCAAACGCCTCTTCGATTTTTGAGATCGGCCCTCGTGGTCTTTGAGCAGCCCAGCTTTTGAGAAAGTAAACGCCTATTCGATCTCTAAGATCGGCCCTCGTGGTCTCTTAGCAGCCCAGCTTTTGAGAAAGCAAACGCCTCTTCGATCTCTGAGCAGGCGCCTCTTCGATCTCTGAGCAGGCGCCTCTTCGATTTCTGAAGCTCCGTCAAGTGCAGATTTTTATAGAGGCTGGCATTAAGTTCCAAAGCACACTTGAATCTCCACGAGTAGAAGCTTCCTTCTTGCACTTCTAAGATCTTGATTTGTCCAACCTCTTCTCTCTTCAACACCTTTGAAAATGTCTGGCCCTTCCAACCGTCGTTTTGACTTGAACCTTGATGAAGAGGCAGCCGCGCCTTCTCCAGACAACATATGGCGCCCATCCTTCTTATCCCCTACTGGTCCTCTTACCGTTAGGGATTCCATGATGAAGAATGATATGACCGCTGCGATGGTGGCCAGGAACATTCTCACTCCCAAAGATAACAGACTTCTTTCCAAACGGTTTGATGAGTTGGTTGTTAAGGATTCTCTGGCTCTTAGTGTTCAGTGTGCAGGTTCTGTGTCGAATATGGCCCAACGCCTATTTGCTCGAACCCGCCAAGTTGAATCATTGGCGGCTGAAATGATGAGTCTCAAGCAGGAGATTAGAGGGCTCAAGCATGAGAATAAACAGTTGCACAGGCTCGCACATGACTATGCTACAAACATGAAGAGGAAGCTTAACCAGGTGAAGGAATCTGATGGTCAGATTTTACTTGATCATCAGAGGTTTGTGGGTTTGTTCCAAAGGCATTTATTGCCTTCGTCTTCTGAGGCTGTACCGCGTAATGAAACTCCAAATGATCAGCCTCCGATGCCTCTTCCTTCTAGGGTTCTGTCCAGTACTGAGGCTCCGAGTGATCACCCTCCGGTGCCTTCTCTTTCTGGGGCTCTACCGACTGCTGAGACTTCTCCTAAGCAACCTTTGTGAATGCCCCCTCTTGTTTGTTTATTTTGACTCATGTATATGTACATATTTGTAACTTATCAGAGATAACAATAAATAAGTTTTGCTTCATTTCAACGTATTGTGTTAAATACACCAAAGCCTTCTTCACTAAGTTCTTTGAATTTTTCTTTTGTTGAAGCTTGTATGTTGAAGCTTTGTGAGTGAAGCATGTAGGTTGAGGTAGTGTTCCCTTAATTTCTCGAGTGAGGAAAACTTCTCGGTTGATGACTTGAAAAATCCAAGTCACTGAGTGGGGTCGGCTATATGAATCTTAGAACGCCATTGTGCTCGGTCCTGTATCATGTCCTCCGTTAGATCCAAGTACTCTAAGTCTTTTCTTAGAGTCTCTTCCAAAGTTTTCCTAGGTCTTCCTCTACCCCTTCGGCCTTGAACCTCTATCCCGTAGTCGCATCTTCTAACCGAAACGTCAGTAGGCCTTCTTTACACATGTCCAAACCACCGTAACCGATTTTCTCTCAGCTTTCCTACAATTTCAGCTACTCCTACTTTACCTCGGATATCCTCATTCCTAATCTTATCCTTTTGCGTGTGTCCACACATCCAACGAAGCATCCTCATCTTCGCTACACCCATTTTGTGTACGTGTTGATGCTTCACCGCCCAACATTCTGTGCCATACAGCATCGCCGACCTTATTGTCGTCCTAAAATTTTCCCTTGAGCTTCAGTGGCATACGGCGGTCACACAACACGCCGGATGCACTCTTCCACTTCATCCATCCAGCTTGTATTCTATAGTTGAGATCTCCATCTAATTCTCCGTTCTTTTGCAAGATAGATCCTAGGTAGCGAAAGCAATCGCTCTTTGGTATTTCCTGATCTCCGATCCTCACCCCTAACTCATTTTGGCCTCCATTTGCACTGAACTTGCACTCTATATATTCTGTCTTTGATCGGCTTAGGCGAAGACCTTTAGATTCCAACACTTCTCTCCAAAGGTTAAGCTTCACATTTACCCTTTCCTGAGTTTCATCTATCAACACTATATCATCTGCGAAAAGCATACACCAAGGAATACCATCTTGAATATGTCCTGTTAACTCATCCATTACCAACGCAAAAAGGTAAGGACTTAAGGATGAGCCTTGATGCAATCCTACAGTTATGGGGAAGCTTTCGGTTTGTCCTTCATAAGTTCTTACAGCAGTCTTTGCTCCTTCATACATATCCTTTATAGCTTGGATATATGCTACTCGTACTCCTTTCTTCTCCAAAATCCTCCAGAGAATGTCTCTTGGGACCCTATCATACGCTTTTTCCAAATCTATAAAGACCATGTGTAAATCCTTTTTCCCCTCTCTATATCTTTCCATCAATCTACGTAAGAGATAGATTGCCTCCATGGTTGAGCGTCCTGGCATGAACCCGAATTGGTTGTCTGAAACTCGTGTCTCTTGCCTCAATCTATGTTCAATGACTCTCCCCCAGAGCTTCATTGTATGATTCATTAGCTTAATACCCCTATAGTTCATGCAATTTTGTACGTCGCCCTTATTCTTGTAGATAGGCACCAAAGTGCTCTTTCGCCACTCATTTGGCATCTTCTTCGTTTTCAAAATCCTATTGAAAATGTCAGTGAGCCATGCTATACCTGTCTCTCCCAAGACTTTCCACACTTCGATTGGTATATCATCTGGGCCCACTGCTTTTCTATGCTTCATCTTCTTCAAAGCTACAACCACTTCTTCCTTCCTAATTCGACGATAAAAGGAGTAGTTTCTACACTCTTCTGAGTTACTCAACTCCCCTAAAGAAGTACTCATTTCATGTCCTTCATTGAAAAGATTATGAAAATAACCTCTCCATCTGTCTTTGACCGCGTTTTCTGTAGCAAGAACCTTTCCATCCTCATCCTTGATGCACCTCACTTGGTTTTGGGTCCCTTGTCTTCTTTTCCCTTGCTCTAGCTAGTTTATAGATATCCAACTCTCCTTCTTTGGTATCTAGTCGCTTATACATATCGTCATAAGACACTAACTTAGCTTCTCTCACAGCTTTCTTCGCATCTTGCTTCGCTCTTCTATACCTTTCACCATTTTCATCGGTCATATCCTTGTATAAGGCTATACAACATTCCTTCTTAGCCTTCACTTTTGTTTGTACCTCCTCATTCCACCACCAAGATTCCTTTTGGTGTGGAGCAAAGCCCTTGGACTCTCCTAATACCTCTTTTGCTACTTTTCGGATACAACTAGCCATGGAATCCCACCTTTGGCTAGCTTCCCCCTCTCTATCCCACACACACTGGGTGATTACTTTCTCTTTGAAAATAGCTTGTTTTTCTCCTTTTAGGTTCCACCATCTAGTCCTTGAGCACTTCCAAGTCTTGTTCTTTTTTCTCACTCTTTTGATATGTACATCCATCACCAACAGCGATGTTGATTAGCCAAACTCTCTCCCGGTATAACTTTGCAATCCTTACAAGTTATACAATCCCCTTTCCTCATTAGAAGAAAATCTATTTGTGTTTTTGACGACCCACTCTTGTAGGTGATCACATGTTCTTCTCTTCTTAAAAAAGGTGTTGGCTAAGAAGAGATCATATGCCATTGCAAAATCCAAGATAGCTTCCCCATCCTCGTTTCTCTCCCCAAAACCATGGCCACCATGAAAACCTCCATAGTTGCCTATCTCCTTGCCCACGTGTCCATTTAAATCTCCTCCTATAAATAACTTCTCCGTCTGAGCAATTCCTTGCACCAAGTCTCCAAGGTCTTCCCAAAATTTCTCCTTCGAACTCATATCCAACCCTACTTGAGGTGCATACGCACTAATCACATTGATGAGTTCTTGTCCTATTACAATCTTGATTGCCATGATTCTATCTCCTACCCTTTTGACATCTACAACATCTTGTGTCAAGGTCTTGTCCACGATGATGCCAACACCGTTTCTCGTTCTATTTGTGCCCGAATACTAGAGTTTAAACCCTGAGTTTTCTAGATCCTTTGCCTTAAAACCAACCTACTTAGTTTCTTGTAGGCACATAATATTTATCCTTCTCCTCACCATAACTTCCACTACTTCCATAGATTTTCCAGTTAGGGTTCCTATATTCCATGTTCCTAAACACATTCTACTCTCTTAAACTCTACCCTTCTGTCCTAACTTCTTCAACCTCCCCCGTCTAATAGGATCAGAGTACTTCTTTTGTGTGTTATGTGTAAAGTTGATAGGAGCATATGCTCTCAAACAACTTTGAGTGGAGTCGTTCGAAAAGAAGTTTCTATGGCCCCCTTGCTCATTTAACACTGCATCCGGGTGCCGATGGAGATACAGCGACCCTTGCTCACTTATCATTGTGCTCGGGCCACACAGCGCGCCACTTACGGGTGACGCCCTAGCTTTAGCGCGATTTCATTCTAGATTCATTTTCATAAGGATTCGACGTAAACCAGGAGTGCTGGCTGTCGACTACCTGACGCCCTCCCCCTCCTCCTTTATCCGGACTTGGGACCGGCAATATAAGATAAGCTTACACAGGTGGAGTTTCTCTCAGCAACCAAACACCGGAGCAAAATCAAAATCAGAGAAAAATCATATTGCACATACCAGCGTTTGCTGGAACTCCTGCTCGGCAACCTCACGCTGTTGGGCGCGGACCTTTGCAGCCTCCGCCTTGAGCCTCTTGCGCTCCTCGTTCTGGAGCCTAAGGGCTTCTTTACGAGCCTCGTCCTTGAGAAGCTTATCAAGCCTCATGAGCTCGACCTCCTTGATGTACTCCTTGCGGACCTCCTTGACCTGCTTGGTGTAGTCTCGGCGGAGGTGTGCAAGCTTGGCCTCCGCCTCCTTGGGGTCCTTGGGGGCCTCCCAACACCCAATGAAGGAATTGGGTTCCATGTACTGGTGGTTCTGCTGGTGGCTGTTGTGATGCGTTGGCTTTGTGCTTGTGGAGAAGGACCGCAGGCACAGTCTGCGGTACAATGAGCGAGAGGTGGTTGCCATTTTTGTGCGCTTTGTCACTGTTGAGAGCATAGTTAGTTAAAAATACACATCCGTATGTATTTTTTTTTTTTTTAAATATGCCTGTATCTGGTATGGTTCAAAGACATAAAAAGAAATCACAATTTCTTCAGCTCAAACGTATAATACTGTATTATACAACTTAAAAAAGGGCAACAAACTGGGAAAATAAATCAAATTGGAACACTTCATCATTATATATATATGAAGAGACTAACCTGCAAATGAAATGTTGTTGAGTCCTGCAGAATAAAGAACAAACTATTATAAGCATGCATTTGATAGTATTGAAAATCAACTAATAATTTAGGTAATTAGCTGACTGAAGTTGCTTTAAAAATCCAAACTTTATGACCTGAACGTTGAATATTCTAGAATCTACATGACAGTACAGCTAATAAACAGATTAATTAACTTAATTTCATTAGCAGAAATCTAAGAGTTTTAGGGTTTCAGCCACAAATTCGTAAGAAATTTGATGACATTTGGTACACACTCATACATATTAAGGAACAAATTGACTAAAAAATGATTATGTTAGAAACTTTTCAAAGCCCAAAAAGAAAAAACCCTAAATTGATATGAAACCCTAGAAAAATACCCACCAAATCACAGCTCAAACTTGACCAAAATCATGATCAAAACTTAAAATGAAACAAAAACCCCCAACAGATTTTAACCCATAAAATAACTGAGTGAGACAGTGAAAGAGTGAGAGCAATCGTATGAGAGAGTGGAAGAGAAAAAGAGAGCTCTGGAGAGGGAGAGGTTCACCTCAGTGCGTGTGTGTGTGAGCAGAGCTCGGTCGCAAACCAGGAAGCGCTTGAAAGCGCAGAGTAACAGAGGAGGCCTAGAGTATATGGGCTAATCACGTAGAAATCTTGGCATGGGCACCCCTTTTTTGGGCACACTATTAAAAACATTTTGTTTTTACTTTAAAATGAAAAAAATGAAATTTGTTTGATTGCTATTTTCGTTTCTCAGTTAAAAAAAAATTAAAATAAAAAACAATAAAGTAGTCAAAGTTAATTTTAAAAATTCAAAAACGTCGTTTTTGTTATGAAATGTGGTATGAATGTCACACATGTGTTTATGTAAGAAAGCTAACCAAAATAGACTTTGGTGAATGCATTAAATGAAAATGTCATAGAAAGGTGAAATATTTTCTTTTTGTATGTAAGAAATTGTCAGATCAAACTCTTATAAATAGAGGCATGTCTGTAACTTCATTACAACACACTAGATCAAGAGAGAAAGAAATAATATCATTATCCCCCTCCTCTTTTTATCTACATCTTTTGTGTGATACATTGCACTCACTCCGCTTCTATCTCTAGCAAATCTTATCTCTCTCACTTTTACTTATTTATAACAGTTTTTAATTGGTTTCATTTTTTGTAAACTGAAAGTAAGAAGAGACTTACTAGCATAAAACATACTAGATTGCTTGGCTTCAAGATGGGTGTGGATGTAAATTTCCGCCACATAGCAATCAGTTAGTCTAAGTTCTTATCGACTCAATTGAGACATGCTATATTCTTTAAAGAACCTACAACCAACAAAATGTTAGAAATGTGTCATAAAGTCAATCATATGATGATACTTTACGAACATTTCACAAGTTAAACTAATTTAGTTTAATATAAAGGGCAAAGATTATTATTTGAAGTCGTCTCATATAAATGTTATATGCTTAAACGATAAGTCCAAGGAATATGTAATTGGGAGAATGTGATCTAAAGAAGTCATGAGACCATTCTCTTTCGTATACATATCCTAAACGTTCCTGATTATAAGATTGCCAAGTGGGCATTGACAATCCGTTAAGATCAATATGTGTTATATCTTCTTTTCGAGAGAGTGACTGGTCTCGAATCATTGGTGTGATTGACACCAAGACAAGCATGTAGGTGCTCAATAGAGAATGAGTCCACTGAACGCAATCAACAAGGAGTTCTCATACTCATGTCATATGAAAACTTATGGTTAGAATAATGCAAAGTAGTCATTTTACCTAAGGTATCATAGTTGTCTTATGGTTAGGTCTTTGATCTTTGACTATGTCAAAGTCACTCCGTCAAGGGGTGTCCATGACATAGTTGGGGTTAAGCCACTTAGTCATGGAGGCAAGTGAATGCACAACAAGGGATCTCTAACTTTCAAACCGTTTAAGGGAGAATACTCTATGATATGATTAAGAATTTATGGCCAGAGTATGAATGAGATTTAGGAATTCGTTTCAAATCACATTCAAGGTAATCATATAAATAAGAGAATCACATTGGATAGTAGACATGAATAAACTATCAAATCAAACAATATGGTCAAGAGTATTGTATTAGAGAAAGATCGTATTGCATTGTAATCCCAAACTGAATAGGTTCTCCACCTCTTCTGATTAGCTTGAGTAACCATGGCATACTTCTAGGTGTTACTCATAGTTTTGTGAAAGCCCTAAGGTGTATATTCACTAAAGGAAGAATTGAAAAGAAAGTTTCAATTTACAATCGATTTGAAGAGTTCTAATCGCCCATTGCCTCGCTAAAAGGAACTTAATGGATCGTACACCATGCAAGATAGAGATTAAATAAACAACGGAGATGAGTAAGGATAATTAAATGGTTTAATTATTTATGGCTAAGATTAAATAATATGTTAATTAATCAAGCAAATAAGTTCATTTTAGACATCGGGTTAGTTTTAGGCCTCAAGGCCTAATGGGCTTCGAATGTCAAGTCCAATAACTCAAGGTGTATGACAACTTGAAAACACAAAGGGCATGAAAGCCCAATGAACCCACATGGCCGGGCATAGAGAGTGCGAGGAAGAATTGGTTTTGATTTCAATTATGCCACTCAATGCAAGTGGCTATAGAAAGGAAAATATAACTCATTCCCTCATAAGGGTTTTCTAGAGAGAAACGAGAAAAACACAAAAATGCTCTCTCTTCTCTTAGGAGGCCGGCCACCCTAGGAAGAATGGACTAGCATCAATTTCTTCCTCGGTCACTCATCTCTTCCTCAATGCTCTCCTTGGTGTGGAAACTTAGAGGTTCATTTTCTTGGGAACTTGGAGAATCCATTCCCTTATCCATATCTAAGAAGTCATGAAGCCAAGAAGCAAAGTTCCTCCATCCGCATCCATGGAGCCAAGGGGTAAGGAAACTAAGGAAAGAAGGCCCTCAATATCCTTTGCTAAGCAAAGATCTCTTCTAATAATGATCATGCAAAAGTACTTTCATAATAAATGCATTAACATATCTAACTAGAAGTAATATAAATATTACTATACAACAAAGCATAAGCTAATATGTAGATAATATTAAAATACAAGTTCTCGCAAGGCAGGTGAATGTGCAACAAAGAATCTATAACCTTCAAACCGTTGAGGGGGAATACTTTATGATATAATTGAATCTATGGTTAGAGTATGAGTGAGATTTAAAAAGTCGTTCAAATTACATTCAACGTAATCCTATAAGTAAGAGAATTACATTGGATAGTAGACATAAATAAACTATCAAACCAAACTATGTGGTCAAGAGTATTGTATTACTTCTCACATTTCTCCTTAGTCTATGCGTTTTTCACCTACTTTGGGTTTTACCATAGCAAGATTTGTGAGTTTACTACCAATGCATGCTTTCGTTAATTTGAGACACGCATTCGCCCATTGTGCTAATGACTTCATAAACTAATCTACTTCATCCATTGAAGACCTGATGCGATGTTTTATTTGAGTATTTACACACTCAATGATGAGTTTTGTAGTCCTATTAGATTAATAATGTGGTCATGTAAATCCTATCGTGTATTTTTGTGGGATTCTACAATATCTCTTAGATTAGATATTAGGGAACTGTTATTAGCACTCTAAAAATCTCATTCTACGCTCTTCACAAGTGTATTTTTCTTTCTAATTATAGAAAGTTTGGAGTGTAAGGTAAGATTTTTGGAGTGCCAATAATAATTTTTTGATATTATCCTATAAGTTGTAATCCTATTGGGGTAAGAAATTTACCTTCCCTATATAAATAAAAGCACAATGGCATCTCTTTCTTGACGATGCACCCTTTCTCTCTCTGTTCTTTATATGGTTTAGTTAAATCGGCCTAAAATAGTACATTAATTATTATGAATTTTAATTTATTTTGACCTACTAAAACCAATGTTCACGAGGGTTAAAAATCCAAACGACAACGTACCATCGTCGAAGTGTAGAGAATGCAATCACAAGTGTTTGCATTTTCTTTTTTTTTTACATTTTTCACACTTATCAATTAAATATTGTAAATATTTTAATGTATTCTGGTATTTTGTAAGAAGAATCAAATTACCTTAGAAAAATTCATAATAAGTGGCCAAAGTTGACCACCCTTGATCGTTAATAAGTGGCCAAAGTTGACCACCCTTGATCGTTGATCATTGTTGATTGTTTTTTTTTTTTGAATAAACGATGTTATCTACATTAATGAGGTGGAAGAGTGAGTAAAGCTTCACAATGAGCTAGTAATAATATGGTTCAAATTTTCCTTTGGCGAGAATCGAACCTAAAACCTCTCAGTCTCACTTACAAGTGAAGAAAAATATCACTAGACCATAGTACTAAACCTAAGACCTCTCAGTTTCACTTACAAGTGAAGAAGAATATCACTAGACTGTAGTTCTAGCAATTAAAAGTTACTAAAATAAATTTTTTCTTAACGAGTTGAAATTACCTTTGAAACTTGATTAGTTAATATGTTAACTTGAAACCCATTATTATCGTACCGTTTCCTGCCAGGTTAAGGATCCCAAACCATGTGGCGTAAAATTACGTTTAACCCAAAATAAAACATCATGAAAATGATGACGTGGATGAGAATGGAAGGAGTCTAGTAACAATGGTGAGTTGGCAGCGCGCTACTGGTGCAATGACGGGGTGAAAAAACGTAACTGGACAGTCATGAGTCATTATTCGGGGGGTCTAAACGCAGACTTTCAATTGAAGACTGCAAAGAAACTACTCAGATCGTCGGGGAGAGAGAGAGAGAGAGCCATGGCAGCTCGAAAGCGAGCTTCAACAGACTCGTCGGCACAACCCAAACCAAACGAGACCGCCTCACGGCCCAAACCCCAAGAACCCACATTAGCAGAGCCGCCGATTGCACCACCAAAGTCGGGCCTAATTCTGAAGGTCGTGCTCTTCTTCTCAGTCCCATACTTTTACCTCCTCTTCTACCACTACAAGATCGAACCAGAGCTTCGCAAATCGATTCTCATCAATGCGGGTCTCAGCCTTGCCGGGTTCTTCGTCACCGTTAAGATGATCCCCATCGCTTCCAGATACGTTCTCCGGCGCAACCTCTTTGGCTACGATATTAACAAGAAGGGTACCCCTCAGGGTACTGTCAAAGTGTGAGTATTTTTTCCATTTGTTTTGCTATATTATTCATTTGTTGAAATTATGATGTGGGTAATCGAAATTATGAGGTGGGTATGTACTAGAATTAGTTTTTAGTTGAATTCATGAACTGGGTATATGTTTGTTACCTTAAGCATTTCGCCAGGGCAGTGAATCCGGCATGTTGCATTCTAAATATCCATCTCAAATGTTTTGTTTTTTTCGAATCTTTGGAGCTCATTGCTTAGACTGTTAGTTATGAAGGCTTTTATTAAATATGAAAATCCACATATTTGACAATTGAGTGCACAGTGATTGACATCATAGTTTTGTATTTGGTTTTGCCCTTTTGATTCGCGATTAATTGACATAAGGTTTGTTCCGGAAATATGGATTGTGTATTGGAGAAGATCCTTTTTTACTTTCCAAATACATTGTCATATATATTGATCTAATGCTTCATACTCTGCACGTATTTTCCTTTTGATAATTATGGTTCCATTTGTGTTTTTCAGGCCTGAGTCACTGGGTATTGTTGT